AACACTTCATTTTATTATTATTATTTTAATGTTTATTTTTGAGAGAGAGAGTGTGCGAGCAGGGGAGGGGCAAAGAGAGAATGGGGGACAGAGGATCCAAAGCAGGATCTGCATTGACAGCAGTGAGCCCGATGCAGGACTTGAATTCACAAACCATGAGATCATGATCTGAACTGAAGTCGGATGCTTAACCGACTGAGCCACCCACGCACCCCTTTATGGAAATATTTCAACAGCAGTAAGAAAAGAATGGCCATCTTTAGGAAAAAATATTCACACTTGTAAAAATGAAACTTCTTGTAGTAGGAGATTGAGGTCGGATGTTGGAAAGAGGTATTCAAGTCTGTCAGCAAGAACTAAACAGAAGAGGCTGTAAGGAATAGTGGGCAGCTTTAGTAAAAATATACTCTTCCCTTCCACTCCCCCCCACCCCCAAATCAGGACCTGATTTTGATCAAAAGCCCACAAAACTTTCTATTCTTTATGTAATCTAAATTTCAGTTTTAAATGGATGCTTACATATAAACTGTGTGGGTCTGGAATTAGAGTTCAATTTTGTTCCTTACATCTTTCACCAGAAGAATGAGTTACCGTGCTCTGAGTTTTGAAAGGCATTATGGCAATTAGCAACGTGTGAATAACAACATACACAGTCTTTTCATCAACAACAAGGAGCTGAGTTCTGACCTCACCGTCTCCACGTGTACTACTGATTGAGTGTGGTGGTCATAGTCTAAGCTTCGGCTCTAGTAAGCATTCATCAAAGGGAAGGCATGATCTTGAATATTCAGTTGGCCACCAATAACGATAAATACATTATGGTCAAGTCCAGTGGTAGTTTTGCTGAAATGGTAATAAAAAAGCATTGGTAATCCATGTCAGAATGAGATACAAAGCAATAGGTGAAAAATGATTTCACATAAAAGAAATTTTGGGGGCGCCTGGGTGGCTTAGTCGGTTGAGCGTCCGACTTTCGCTTGGGTCATGATCTCGCGGTTCGTGGGTTCGAACCCCGCGTCGGGCTCTGTGCTGACTGCCAGCTCGGAGCCTGGAGCCTGTTTCAGTCTGTGACTCCCTCTCCCTCTCTGATCCTCCCCTGCTCACCCGGTCTCTCTCTCTCTCTCCTAGAAATAAATAAAAACATTTAAAAAAAAAAAAAAGAAATTTTGATAAACCTAGAAAACGACTTTAGTTATTTTTGTCCATTAACATTCGCATTTTGGGTTAAGGAGCTAGTTGAATCATGTGCCATTCCTTCCTGTAAGAAGAAATTTTGAGTACAACAGATAGGAATTTCTCATTCAGAAACTTGTGTTTTTGCCCCACTTTCCTTCCCAGTCTCCAGTAGGATACTGTCATCATTCAGTATTGGTATCATTGCAACTTAGACACACCGAAGTTGCAATGTACAGGACTTAAGTGAACGCCGTATGGCAGTGACTCTGAAAAGACTAAGTTTTATTAGTTATGCTGTTAAGGTTTTTTGTTGCTGTTTTAAAAGACTCCCAGAAATTCAAATTTTGTGGAACATGAGCCAAAACTAATTGAGGCTGTTACGGAAAAATTATCTCATTTTAATGGTCTATATATTCCCTCTGGGACACTGCTGGTCAAAGCTGTATGGCCCACAAGGCAAAAATTATAATTAGAATGATGTTTTTCATATTGTCTTAATTTGTTTTTATTACTGACTTTTTATAGCTTCATCTTTGGAGGTGCTTTGTACTGTGTAAATGAAATTTACTGAAAGTGTACATAAATAACTGATGTCCCAATAAACCATAAATTGATTTTTTAAAAATAGTGTTGATCATCTGTGTTGTTTGAGGCACTTGCTAATCCTCCATATTTTACCCACATGCTCATGTGGCTCATGATTTAAATCTAAATAACGTTTAACTTCATTGCTATACATCTGAAATAAAAAAAAAAAAAAATCAACTAATGGATAGAGAAGATCTACCCCCCTGACCTGCAGGCCCATAAGGCACTAAAAACAACAAAACACAGCACTGGAGGCAGTGTGGTGAGGGTACAGCTCCAGCTAGATTTGCGATCCGAAGCTTTCCATCTAAAGTATTAGTTACCAGAGGCTCGTTACTGCAACCAATTACTACAAACTTGGTGGCTTACAACAGAAACTTACTCTGTCAGTTCCAAAGCCCAGAAATCAGTTTCACTGGGTCAAATCAAGTCTATGCTCTCAGGGTAGGTCTGTTCCTCGAGTCTCCCAGTTTCTGGCGGCCCAGCCTGAAGTTGTATCTACATCATCAAGGCCAAAATCAAATCTTTTTTTTTTAAGCTTATTTATTTTTGAGAGACAGAGAGAGCAGGGGAGGGGCAGAGAGAGAGGGAGACACAGAATCCAAAGCAGATTCCAGGGTCTGAGCTGTCAGCACAGAGCCTGATGTGGGGCTTTAAGGGGCTTGAACTCACAAAGCGGGAGATCATGACCTGAGCCGAAGTCTGACGCTCAACTGACTGAACCACCCAGGTTCCCCAATCTTTTTCTACTTGTCTTCACACAGCCTCCTCCTCTGAGCATGGAATCTCCTTCTGCCTCCCTCTTACAAAGGCATTTCGGATTAGATTTAGGGCTCACAGAGATTATCCAGGATAATCTTTCCATCTCAAGATTCCTAATCTAATCACATCTGCAAATCACCTTTTCCAAAGAAGCTACCATTTACAGGTTTGCAATTAGGGCTTGATTATCTTTGAGAGTCATTATTCAGCCCACGGTACCCTGTAGAACACCTTATAACCTCTAGTACAGTGCTGCCTATGAAACTTTCTGTAGTAATGGGTGTGTTCTCCACCTGTTTCTAGTAGCTTCTAGCCCCATGTGACTTCCGAGCATTTGAAATGTGGCTAACAACTGACGAGCTGAATTTTTCAGTTTTGATTTAAATGTAAATAGCTCCATGTGACTAATGGCCATCACACTGGACAGTGCAGTTCTAGTATCTGTAGTTCTAAATACTCTGTGGCACCTTAAAAAAAAAACTGAGTTCCCTGTTTTCCCGCACCGTTTCACTGCCTGGCTTAAGACTGCTTCTATTTTTCAGCTGCTATTGTTTAGTCTAGTGGACTTCAAGCTTTTTAGCATCAAAATCCTTCCTACCAAAAAAGAAAAAAATTATTTGGAAAACCAGAGTGTAAAGAGGCTGCGCTGGCTCAGGCTTGGTAGTGGGGAAAGCAAGGAGGACCCCTGCGGACCCGGGGTCTCCAGCCGTTCACTCACCCAGGTAACTCTGAGGGGCAAGGAGCCACCATTAGTGGTCCTGGTGTCATTTGTGACACCAACGGGTTGTCCCTGGGAGCTGTCTGCCACGGCCCTCAGTCAGACTTTAACACTTGCGGCTCGACCCCAGCTTTAGACAGGAGCTAGTGCAGTTGTTCCCCGGGCCCTCCTCCCTGGGCCTCTGTTGCGGTTAACGTCTCGCGCATCCCGTGCTCTGCCGGAACGTGCTGCCCTGTTTAAAGCTCTGGGACTCAGGTTTTCCTTTCCCTTCCCCTGCCTAGCATTTGACGTTGCCTCCCACGGGCCTTCTGTTCTCCTGAGACCTTCCCCACCGCCCCGCACCCTCCCCATTGCTACCAGGCAGCAAGCAAGCGTCGCAGGGCTTTACACCGGAGCGCTATCAAGGGATCGGCTGCAACCATGTGCTCGGGTTTTGTCCGATTTGTGCTCCGATGCACTCACCTAGAGTAGTACTTGACCTAACACACGTGCTCTATTATTTACTAATGAAAATAAAAGCCAGCATTTTATTTTTTTAGTGTTTGAGAGCGAGTGACCATAGGGGAGGAGCAGAAACTGAAGCAGGCTCTGCACTGTCAGCTCAGAGCCCAACCTGGGGCTCAATCTCACATGCTGTGAAGTTGCGACATGAGCTGAAACCAATATGGCGGGAACCAAGATGGACTTTACCTGTAACAGTCCAGAGCCAGCAGCCTGTGGGGCAGGGGTATACAAGCAACCACAAAATGTACCTCTGAGTATGACAAGCCTATTGCAAGATGCTGTAGAATTCCAGAGCCAGAAACTCATGGCCACAGAAAAGCTGGACGGGAGTATGGTGGTTAGGAGCATTCCTAGGTAAATGTTAAGGCATTCTAAGACAGGAGAGGCCGGAAAGTTGCCATTTTAGAATAGTCTCAAATACTGTCGCTGCATACAAGTGGTCATGAAACCCTCCCCTTAAGGTCACTTCGCTGCAGTTTCACTTGGAGTTCCCCCAAACTTTTACATGCTCTGCTCAGGACCTTTCACTGGTTTCCACTCTGCCTGAAATGTTCTTCACCCACACCCACACCCCCATCTCCCTCAGGTCTGTCATCAGCACTCCCCAGCCAGCCCTGAGCTTATAAATGTCCTCCATTCACAGTGCAAATACATGCACTTCCTATTCCCCCAACACTCCCCCCCCACTTTTTCCCGGCTAGCAATTATGGTCTAACACAGTTAAGTAAATTACCTGAAAGTCACAAGGCTGGGTTTTACCATGAAATCGGGAATATTTAAAAATGTAGTTTAGATAGAAAGGCTGCAACAGTGTTATGAAATAAGCATGAAGAGGGACTCCAAGGTGGGAGTGCCTGGGTGGCTCCGTGGGCTGAGCTTCAACTCTTGATTTCTGCCCAGGGCTGTGGGATCAGGCCCCACAAGGGCTCCAAACGAAGCATGGAAACTGCTGGAGAATCTCTCAAAAAATAAGTAAATAAATAAGAGTGACTCCAAGGTGAGTATTAGTTATCTTTATTTAAAACGTCTGGAGGGGCACCTGGGTGGCTTAGTCGGTTAAGCGTCCGACTTTCGCTTAGGTCATGATCTCGCGGTTCGTGGGTTCGAGCCCCGCGTCAGGCTCTGTGCTGACTGCCAGCTCAGAGCCTGGAGCCTGTTTCGGTCTGATTCCCTCTCTCTCTGACCCTCCCCTGCTCATGCTGTCTCTCTCTCTCTCTCCTAGAAATAAATAAAACATTAAAAAATAAATAAATAAAACGTCTGGAAAATGAGGTATCTGCAGACAATCAGAGCTGATCAGCAAGAACTAGCGGTCCTAGGCTCTGCTGCTCTCGCTACACTGTCTCATTTCTTCCCCCAAACTCCCCCATCACCTGTCATACTTTCATGTTCTAACCATCTAGCACCACTGTGCCCTTCAAATCCCTGTTCACAGCTGTTATGCTAATTCATCAGAACCACCTAACGTGCTGACAGATACTCGCTTTGTGCCAAATCGTGGGTTCACCGGGATTAAATGCTATGAAGACCTTATGTTCTTCACAGCTCTAACTGTGGTCTCCCCTGACCAGACTGGCCTCGTCTGTTTCAGCATTTCTACTGTGACGCTACAACATTAAATGCCCATAGAGGGAAGTTAACTTTCTAAGAGGTCACAGAGCCAGGAAGTTACATGAGGATTCACATTCAGGGCTCCACATGTGACAGGACCCTGAGTCGGTACCTGACCTGCAGTTGCTTGACTAAAACGAGAGGCCGGCGTCAACTTCACAAAGTTGTAAGAACTAACCGACAAGATGAGAAATCGAACACCTGCTGTGCTGCCCTGTTGCTGCCAGCACTGGACACGTGGTTAAATATGTGACCTCATTAGAGGCATGTGTATGTTATAAACTGCATAGTTGGTGTAAGTCAGTTAAAATACCAGCATCAGAGTACTCCAGCATCTGTGGCTCATACCTGTAGTTTTCCACCTATAAAAAAGAAAACATTTTCAAATATGCCTTTCAACAGAAAGCAAAATTGAGGTACATTCTTTTCAGTTTGTCTCAAAGGATGTCTAGAAAAAAGCCCTGTATACACTGTCCTATCGCCTGGGTTTCCCCACCTTTAAAAATAAGCTGTTTCTGAGGCACTTGGGTGGCTGAGATGGTTCAGCATGGGACTCTAGATCTGGGCTCATCATGATCTCACGCTGTGGAAGTGAGCCCCACTTCTGGCTCTGTGCTGGCGGCAGGGAGCCTGCTTGGGATTCTCTCGGTCTCTCTCAAAATAAATAATTATATAAAAAAAAAACCCACCTCTGAAGGTATCATCAAAACAAGGTTAAGTTTAAATTTACCACTGTGCTATATTAACTCTATGAAAATATCACAAGCGTGCTCAAACTTAAAGAAAACTGTCCTCTGGTTCAGCTGTGACTCCAGACAGGATCCAGAGAGGAGTTTTAGTCTCTTCCCTGGGTTTTATGGAGACTTCCTTTACCCTTCTGTGTTAGCCTCTTAAGGCACCGCGTCAGCCTTAAAAGGGCACAGGAAAGGGCGGCCTGGGTTTTTTTTTTTACAGGCTTCTGTACGACCCCTGCTCTCCTCGCCCGTCTATACCCCCTGGATCTCAGCGGTTCTGGGCCAAATCCGAGAACTCAACCAAGCAGCCGTTCTGCATGGGGTGGGGCGCTCGGGAACGTACATTCCCTCAGTGCGAAGGGGCAGCCAATTGGGGGCCTGAGAACCAAACACGTGGGGACCCGGTCGCCATCGGCCACTTGCTCCGGGCCGAGCTCCCCGCATTGCCCTCCAGGACCGGGACGTACCTGCGCGTGGAAGTCGGGCCGCTGCTGCCCCGCACACGTCGGAGAAGGACTCCGCAGGCCCCGGGCTGGGCTCCGGCAGCCGCAGGCGGGCCGGGCCTCGAACCCGCCACAAAGAAGCCGCGCCCGCGCCCTGGGGGAGCAAAGCGCGAGGTAGTTAAGACACCCGGGCCTGGCCGCGGGGAAGCCTCCCGGCGGCTCCGCGCGGCGTCTGTGCCTCGCGCGGCCCCGGGACGGGCTGGACCGCCCGCCCCCCGGGCCGCCGAGGGCTGCTCTACCCCTCCGTTCTGGCCGCCGGGAGCAGCGGAGCTCCGGGCGGGCAAAGCTCGAGGGGACGCGGGGCGAGCGCAGCGCCAGCCGGGCCCGCGGACCGGGTACCCTCTCCGCCGCCCACCTGCACTTACCGCTCAGCTCGGCGGGACTGAGGCCGGCGTCTCGCGTGCGGCACAGAGACCCGGGCGGCGCCGCGACGACGAGGACGGCGGCGCGGCGGGCGGCGGGCAGCCAATCCCGGGCAGCCTCCGGCCGGGGGGCGGGGCGGGCCTGGCCATTGGCGCCCGCGGCCCTCGGCCCGCCCAGAGCCTTCGGAATCCTTCGGGCCCTTCCGCGGTGGGAGGACGCGCTAGGCCTGCGCGCAGCACTTCTCGGAAGCTCTGGAGTGTGAGCGCCTCCCCTTGGCCCTAGAGGACCTGGTTCTCGCCGGCGCCGTCTTCCTCAGGGCCCCTCTGGAGGGTTCGTGGTGACTCTAGGGCTGCTCCACGACCCAGAGGTGCCCTTTCCTACAACCACCCCAGTCCAGTATGCGTTTAGAGTCTCTCCTGCTCACCTGGCAGCTTAAAGAGAAGCCAGAGCTTGTCTCTGACCAGGCTCACCCAACGGCCCCTCCTAAACCTGAAACGCCCACTGTTCCTTCATTCAGTAACCGCGTTCAACCAGCAGACTTCAGTCGGCAAGGGAAGGGGTCGGGGAGCACCATAAACCTTCCCTAGTGACAGACTCAAACTTGACAAGCAAGGGGAATAAAATCGGAGTATATGCTAAAATGAGAACTTGTATCACAGGCCTAAGAGTTCATCATCCGTTATCAAATTTAGTCCTCAAAATACCTTTTATCAGCCCCACATTTTAAGTGGAGAAACTGACACATTGAGTAACTTTCCAAGGTGACGGAGGAGCTAGCAAGTGGTGGATCCGGGATTCCAACCCAAGAAGTCTGGAAGTCTAGCCCCTCAAAACACTCTACTAGTCACTGCCTTTCCACAGGTGTGTGAGGTGGGGCGGGAAGGGAAACAACGTAGCATCTACATTTGACTGGCTGAACAAGATAGGCCATCTCCCACGTGGTTGGGGGTCTACAGGCGCGAAGAAGAGCTTGTGGTAGAACCGAAAGGCACCCTACCCGTTTAAGGACCCCAGGGTGTAAATGGAATTTAAGGATGGAGCAGAGCGGTCTGAGATGTGGGTGGCTCAGGGCCATAGCAAGCCTGACCCCAGGCTAGAATGCATATTATATGCTAAGAACAATGGAAAGCTGTTCAGGCAGATTTTAGGGCTGGAAATGATATGATCTGATGGAGGGTGTGGTGTGAGAGTCCTTCAGTTGCTTTGGGGGAGGGGAAGAAATAGGGTACCTTTTATTAATAAATCCTGGCAGCCAGCCCCTACTTGGTAGCTATTCAAAAGATGAATGTAAAATGGGTTAGAGTGGCAGAGGGAGCACCAGTTTGCTGTCCCTTTACCTTTCTTATCTCAGATTCTTCTAAGTACGTCTCTGGTTTTGAATCTGTTCTTGTCCTTTTGGGTAGCTGAGCGATGTTAACCTTGCCTTCCATTATGCCAATGAATGTGGACAAGTTGCATAATAAGAATCTGAGGACAGAGAAGAAAATCTCGGGAAAGAGACCAATGTAGGAATCCAGTGGCGACCTAGTGGGGTTGGCAGTAGTTGTCCATTATGTCTTCCTCCTGAACCGGGTGATAAAAACTGAAAGAGGTTATGAGATCATTACAACTAGTGTTTAACTCGAACTCAGGGAGAAACCCACCTCAGTCTGAAGGCTTCGCACAACCCTGGCCAAAGGACAACTGCAGTTCATTGGAAAAGGCAAAACCATTCATTTTGTGTAGAGGAAAAATGCCTTCTCAACTATTAAAAAAATTCTTAATTAAAATTAATATAGAGATGGCAGATTAAAATGAACTCATTGTATAAATTCAGGGTAATCTGCATTTGGTATTAAAAATGCTTCTAAAATGGGCAGAAGACATGAACAGACACTTCTCCAAAGAGGACATCCAGATGGCCAACAGACACATGAAACGATGCTCAGCATCCCTCCTCATCAGGGAAATACAAATCAAAACCACACTGAGATACCACCTCACGCCAGTCAGAGTGGCTAAAATGAGCAAATCAGAGAACTCTAGATGCTGGCGAGGATGTGGAGAAACGGGCACCCTCCTACACTGTTGGTGGGAATGTAAACTGGTACAGCCCCTCTGGAAAACAGTGTGGAGGTTCCTCAGGAAACTAACAATAGAACTCCCTTATGACCCAGCAATAGCACTGCTAGGAATTTACCCAAGGGATACAGAAATGCTGAGGCATAGGAGCACATGTACCCCAATGTTCATAGCAGCACTCTCCACAATAGCTAAAACATGGAAAGAGCCTAAGTGTCCATCAACAGATGAATGGATCAAGAAGATGTGGTTTATCTATACCATGGAATACTACATGGCAATGAGAAACAATGAAATCTGGCCATGTGTAGCAACATGGATGGACCTTGAGGGTGTTATGCTGAGCGAAATAAGTCAGGCAGAGAAGGACAAATATCATATGTTTGCACGTATAGGAGGATTAGGAGGAACTTGACGGAGGAACAAGGGGGAGAAGAAGGGCGGAAATGGTGGGGGAAAGGGAGAGAGGCAAACCATGAGAGACTCTTGAATGCTGACAAAAACTGAGGACTGATGGATGTGGGGGGGAGGGGGGTGGGCATGGAGGAGGGCACTTTGGGGATGAGCACTGAGTGTTATGTGGAAACTAATTTGACAATAAACTATTTGTAAAAAAAAAAAATAAAAATAAAAAACATAAATAAATAAAAATGCTTCTAATTCAGTTTAAAGAAAATGGAATCGGGGCGCCTGGGTGGCTTAGTCGGTTAAACGTCCAACTTTCGCTTAGGTCATGATCTCGCGGTTCGTGTGTTCGAGCCCCGCGTCGGGCTCTGTGCCGACAGCCAGCTCAGAGCCTGGAGCTTGCTTCGGATTCTGTAACTCCCTCTCTCTCTGACCCTCCCCTGCTCACGATGTCTCTCTCTCTCTCTCTCCTAGAAATAAATAAAAATATTTTTTTAAAAAATGGAATCAATTGGCTTTATTACCAGATGTGATTGTTTGAGAGAAATTTGTCCAATCTGAGAGAATTTAGCTTGACCCAGAAGACCAGGGATCAGGTGGAAAAGCACAGGAGACCTGATGGGCCCATACTGTCTTCATATTTCCCCAAACACTCCCTTCAATAAACAGGTCTATCTCCCCTAGTTCCCCACAAGTCCCTGTCCCTGAGCTCCAGGCTCCGTTCCTGTCAGCCTGCCACAGCCTCACAAGCTATCCATTATTTGGGGGGGTTTTCCCCCTCCCTTTCTCTTCTCTCGCTTCTTCTGCCTGGCTCTTAGCTTCTCTCTGCATGTATACTCTATCTCTTCCAACCTGAATAAACCTTCCCTCCTTCGAATGTCCCCCAGTCCTGAGATGCCACGCTCTCCTCCCCTGCCTCACAGGCCTTCAGAAAGACCAGGCCAACACAGGTCTTCAGCCCTGTTCAGCCTCAGCCTTCTGTAGCCCTCGGGTCCATAGAGTCTGACTTTCCTCTTCCCAGTTTCCCTGACGCTGCTCTCCAAGGTCACCAGTGACCTCTCAGTGACCAAACCCTCTGCTCCGCATCTCCTCCAGCCTCTCTGTGGCATGGGACATAGCCAGCCACTCCCTCCTTGATTCCCCTTCCCTCTGGTTTCTGGGTGTCCACTCTTCCCTGCTTTTCCTTCTACGCCGGTGACCTTTCCTCTCCGTCTTTTGTCCTGCCCTTTCTGGCGACATTCTTTCCCAAAGCTCTTCCCTTTGTGTTCTTTGCTCTTGCTGACCAACCTCCCAGGAATGACAGTAATAAAAGTCATTAATGGAGTGTCAGACACTTTACACACGCCATCTCTAATTCATAAGCCAATTCTGCAAGGGAGATAACGAGAATATTATTAGTATCACTGAATGAGCACTTACAAACCAGTCATAGTGTTTAGTCTCTTACATAAAAATATCATTATCATCACTTTAGAGATCATAAACTGAGACCAAGAAAGCCTGAGTGATTTTCTGAGACTGCACAACGGTGGCAGAGCTAGGATCCCTACGCTGACTCCCAGCCTGCCTGCCCTCCCCCACCCCCCAACGCCCCCCATGCAGAGGCTATCCCTCAGCCAAGCCCACTCTCCCTGGCTTCAGCTACCAAATACCCACAAGCCCTGCACACATCCTCATCTTGAGGACCCAGAGACACCACAGATCAGCTGGTCTCAAGCAGAGTTCATTCTCTTCTTCCAGCCCCACACTTTTATGTCCTCTTGATGAATAACAGTTCCTTAGCCCAGCCGTCCAGGATTCAGCTCAGATGACTTCCTCTCTCTGCCTCCTCTCCAATTCTCAGCACCCTGCTTCCTCACCTCCTTTTATTCAGTCAGTTCTTTCTGTAGACCATCCCATGAGTCTTCCCTCTCATACCGACTCCCTGTTAAACTTTAGTTCTAGCTTATATCCTCTACTTTCTGGCCCACGGCAGCAGCCTCCACCCAGCCTCCCTGCCTCCAGTCTTCCCTCCCCTAGTACAACCTCCACACTGCTGTCATTTCCACTGGAAATCCTTAAATGGCTCTGCACTGCCTCCAGGGTCAAGATCATTGACCTGTCTTTCTACCTCCCCCCTCCCCACACACCTATTATGATCCAGCCATACTGAACTATTTGTAGTTCCCTGAATGCTCTGTCCAGCACTGTTCCGTACAGCTGTCTGTGATAACGGAAACGTTCCGTAACTGAGTGGCTATGAAAACTTGAAATGTGAATAGTACAACAAAGGAATGGTGTTAAATTTTTATTCACTTTCAATTAATTTATTTTTAAATGTTTCTACTTATTTTTGAGAGAGAAAGTGTGCACCTATGTGAATGAGGGAGGGGTGGGGGTGGGGGCAAGAAGATCTGAATCAGGCTCTGCACTGATATCAGAGAGCTCAGTGCGGGCCTCAAACTCACGAACTGTGAGATCATGACCTGAGCCAAAGTCAGATGTTTAACAGACCACCCAGGCACCCCTACTTTTAACCAGTTTGAATTTTTTTAACGTTTATTTATTTTTGAGAGACAGAAAGAGACAGAGCGCTAGTGGGGGAGGGGCAGAGAGAGAGAGAGAGAGACAGAATCTGAAGCAGGCTTCAGGCTGTCAGCATAGAGCCCAATGCGGGGCTGGAACCCACGAACCTTGAGATCATGACCTGACCTGAAGTTGGATGCTTAACCAACTGAGCCACCCAGGCACCCCTAACTAATCTAAATAGTCATATGTGACTGGTAGATACCATACTGCATAGCATAGCAATTTATTTCTCAAAGGTGTCTCGCACAGTGGACATCACCTGAAAACCTGTCTGAAGTAAAGGATCTAAAAAAAACAAAAAACAAAAAAAACCCAAAAAACAAAAAACAGATCTCAAGCCCCATCCCTGACCTGCTGATTCATAATCTGCCTTTCAACCAATGTAATTTATATGCACATTGAAGTTTCAGGGAGCACTGCTCTAAGAGCTCTCGCTTCCTTGCCTTTGTACATGCGGTTTTCTTTTTCCGGACTGCCCATCACCTCTCCTCCTTTGTTCCTTAATTCCTATTTGTCCCTCAAGACCCAGCATCTACAAGCACAACATATTCTTAGTATGGTTATCTGGAGGACAGAGGGTGGTGGGGAGCAGTGAGAAGGAGAGAGAAAATGTGTATGATAAAACTACACGTATCTTGTAATCCCAAGTATCTATATATCTGTATTTACCCCCATTTATACACATATTATATACGTCTGTGTATCGACATGAAAAGATGGTTACTATTAGTGGTGCTTCTCTCAAGATGGTGGGGTTTCATGTATTTTTTCTTTTTTTAAAATATTTCTGAGGTATCATTCAAGTTCTTTACAATGAGTATATATTATTTATAATCAGAATATAAAATAATAGTCATGGGGCACCTGGGTAGTTCAGTTGGTTGAGCGTCTAACTCTTGGTTTTGGCTCAGGTCATGATACCACAGTTCTTGAGTTCAAGCTCTGCACGGGGCTCTGTGCTGGCAGCTCTAAGCCTGCTTGGGATTTTCTCTTTCTCTTTCTGCCCCTCCTTCATTCATTCTCTCTCTCTCTCTCTCTCTCTCTCTCTCTCACACACACACACACACACACAAATAAGTATTAAAATATTGTTTAGAAAATAAAATAATAATCATTTTCACTACAGAAAATAAAAGAAAGCCTATTTTACCCCTCTGTAGATATTTGTATAAACATGATATCAGAATAAAGTACAGTTGAACCTTGAATAACATGGGGGTTAGAGGCACTGACCCCAGCATTGTCAAAAATCTGCATATAACTTTTGGCTTTCCAAAACGTAACCGCTAAAAGCCTACTGTTGACTGTAAGCCTTAGTGAAAACATGAATAGTCAATTAACACAATTTCGTATATGTTTAATATATATTCTTAAAATAAGCTAGAGAAAAATGTTA